TTTATGCTCAGACAGAGAACCAGGGCATTTCTCAAACAGGCATCAACCATCATGTCCAGGTCCAGTTCCAAATTGGGTAATTATATTCAGACTACCTACGTTTCCCCTGCTCTTTCCATTTGACATGATATTCCGGTTCTAACCCCATCTGTTGCGCAGTGCTGCTGTGTTTCACAGAGGTGGCTGCATGTCAGTGTGGATCAAGTTATCCCTGTATTTAGTTTGTATCTTGATTTGGCAAGGGTGTATGAAGTTTTGAGATGAAAGACTTATAAATACAAGATATTATGTTTTATTTTTTAACCAATTATTAATCCAAATATTTCAGTACCCTGGTAGGGGAATTGATGTCAGAAGAAGAAAAATATGGGACATGTATGGACCACAAACGCATTTAGAGGTATTGTAAAAATCCGACCTACAGTAACTCTATTTTTATTTATTCATCATTCATTGCTTCAAATTATTTAATTTAGTATGAATATACGAGTACTGTTCTGTCAGCTGCAGTGTGATGGTTCAACATAGTCAGGTTTGTAGGTTGTTGGCAAGGAAGTTTGGGGTTAGGATGGCTGTTTCATATTGTATCCATGCATATGCTCAATTTCCCCCTTGTGGTCAGTTATAAGAACCAGCATAGGTAACTTCCCCACCCCACACACAAAATAAATACAATCTTTGATCTTGAAAGATCATTGCTTATATAGTGGTGGCGCAGCAACACCACATAGCGCTATCCTCAAGGAAATCGAAGTTCAAAAGCTTTTGGCTTATTCTTGAGACGTTCATAATAGAATCACTCTGGAAATGATTCCAGCCACAATCCTCTTTTGGAGCAGCATTATTGTTCAGTCTTAAAAGGAACAATCACCTGCTATGCTTATTTTGTAATAAGCCATCACAATAATAGCCTGCAGCAAACTGGACAGGAAAATGGGTCTGAAAGAGGGATTATCTTTCAAATTCCACATTAGCATTTTTATGAGAACAGAAACAACTAGAACACAGGAACATTCACTTTCAATCCAACTGTGCATAGTCCTCTGTGTATCAAATCTTCACATTGATTGATAGTTGCCTTGTTCCTAAATTTCCTTGTTTTCTTTTCACTAAACTCCTGAAATTGGCTTTCCCTGTTTCCACTCTCTCAAAAGATCTCTAAGGTTTCCCCAGATTCAGCTGCCTTAAAAAAAAAACAAAACAAAAACAAAAAAAACAACTCCCTACATAGTTGTGTTCTAGTTGAGGCTGTTAATTAACATATATCAATAGTTCAGTATAACTTTTCCCCACACAGTTTAAAAAAACAGAAATTTCAATGCCAAGGGTTGATATTGGCTTCAATCAGGCCAGCAGAGTTTATACAAGTCATTGAAGATCAAAGTGCTAATTCACTTCGGTGCTGGCATGCATCATCCCTGCTTTTCCAGTCCCCATCCTCGAGTACAGAGACGGCCAGTTGTATCAAACTGTTTAGTGGCTCTCAAGTGTGGACAAATAGAGACTGAATGTGACTATCAGACCATGCAGTCCAGAGCCAGAATTTAAGCCAAGTGTTTGGAAGTAAAAGTCTAGAGCGCAAGACAATGTACTATTTCAACTCCCATATACTACATCTAGTCACTTCTGAACTAATTAGTCATGTTCTATTCTCTCCTGTTACATATTAATTCATTTAGGCCCTGCCCCATGGAAGTCATTGGAAGTTTTTCCCATTCACTTTTTTGAGCTCAGGATCAGGCCACTAGGGCACCATCTTGTGCAGTGCTGAGCACCCTGAACTCTCCTGAGTGTTTTTAGGAGCTGAGAGCACTCACGGTGCTTTGCAGCATTGGACCCTTAACTGTATAGTGAAGGGACAAGAAGGAAAAGTATCTTTTCCTTTTGCCCTTTAATTATTCGTCTTGTAGGTTTTTTTTAAATGTGCAAGTAATTATGTTATAGTCTTGGTTAAATGAACATAAAATGGTTACAAATATGAACATCAGCTATGGGAATTATATATAAACATTTGAAATAAATGCCTTCTAAAAGCTGTTTGGTGGAGGAGAAGATTGCGTAACCTTATTTCATCACATGCATTTGTGGCTAAGGGAATTTTAAATTACAGGGTTTGTAAAAGAAGAAACCACCTGTTCATAGCACCTTTGTGTTACCCTCAGAAGTTATTTAATTTAGCTTGATTTTTTTGAAAGCAGAACTTGTAGTATGAGAATTGCAATCTGTGGCATGCAGTGCCAATACTAAAATTATTCATGCGTGTGACAGGTGGAGTATCGCAGCACCAATCTGCTGTCAGACGTGATGAATACAAATCTGATTATGGATAATTATTTAAATGCAGAAGACAGCACTGCTAATCCAGACTGTTTCAAAAATGAACAATCAAAATTAAAATAGAGTGTGGGTGGTAATTTGTTTATCAGAACATAAAGGCATTTACCAAACATTTTGGTTTAGTATATTTGGATGAGCTTACGTGACGCATTTTCAGGACCATGTGTGTGTATGCAGCATGTGTGTAAATACATGCATGCACGCTGTATGTAAAATGAAGGCATTGATAGGGATTCCAGAGTTAAGGTTGTATAGAGATTTTCATTTAAAGACGTATTAAAATTCTGTGTTCAGTTTCCATCTCTGGCCCAGTAACTCTTCAGAGGACTGTTAATTTTTCCATGGAAATTTTGAGGAAAAAATCTACTAACTTTTATGAAGAAACATTTTTTAAAATGCCTCCTTTTTAAAATGTAGCTCTCTTCCTCCCTGGTCTTTGGATTCCTCTCGTGAAATAGCCACAAACTCCAATCTTCTCTCTCTCACATGTGCTGACAGCATCTTGGATATTGGCCACTCTTGAATTTTTAAATTAAACCAATAGCAGTTCCTGCTCTTGTTCAGGATACCTTATGGAGTGTCTCCAACATTAGTTATTGCACATTCTCAATGGCATGAAAGAAAGGAGTCAGGTGCTGATACCTCAGTGCAGACATGCTGAGTGCTCACACAGCCCAACTCTCCCTAATTAAAGCTCTCCTCTCCCCCTCCTCAAAATCCTTGTCCCCAGCTCCCACGCACATCCTAGCAACCCCTGACTTAGTGTGTGCCAGGGGGCAGCTCCGTGATAAGTTGAAGGGGAAAAGAATAGTGGTTGTGTAGAGGTGTGAGAGGGTGTACACAGATGACATCAGGGTGAGTAGCCATGGGGGAAGAGAGGAGCAGAAGGGGTGTAGAGGGGAAAAATGGGATTTCATTTGAGGTGGACCTGGGGATGGGAAGCAGACTAGAGAAGCTGAATTCTGATGAATTGTATGCTGATCTAAGGCCTGGATCCTGCAAATTGAAGTCACTGGGGCTCTCTGTGGCCACAGGAGTCTGCCCAAGCAGATTGCAAGATTGTGGTCTAAGAGGACAAGTGGCACAAGAAGAGTGGTGGGAGAGGGATACAATCAAATGTATTTAATTTTATATTTCTGTTTATGCATGTTTTTGTTGTTGTTATGGCCTCCTCTCTGTCTAGCTTTACGTCTGACTTGTTTTATGTGTTTCTACTATTGCCTTATTTATGTTTTGCACCAATAAGACGTCATTGCATAGCAAAAGTATTTGCTTTTGGTTCAGATCAGAAAAACATTGGCAGTTCACATTCGCTGTTGCTGTTCCCCTCAAATCTATTTTAGGGTTTATACTGCTGCCCTCAATGTGTCAAATACAATAATTCTAAAAAATTTGGGAACAAAATGTATTTTATTTTTTGAAGGAATGTGCAATCAGACCAGATGACAGTTATCTCTTTCCAAATGTTGACTGGCTAATAGGAAACCATTCAGATGAGCTAACGCCATGGATACCTGTAATTGCAGCTAGGTATGGAAAAAAGTTTCTGCTAATCTCTATTATATGCATGCACTGGGAGAACTGTATACTTTTGCTTCCAGTGTTCATAAAAGGATGTGGTGATCTGTGATCTCATTGCAGGACTGGGTGGGATTGGTGTTTAACAGAGCAATTGCTACTCACAAAACACTTATCTCTGTAGATAACCCATTAGGAAGCCTGAGAATTGGGTTTCTGTGTCATTTCTCCATCACAGAAAGCTGCAATAACATAGCATCTCTCCAGTTTTTGTGGCACAAGAAATCTAACTAGATTTTATTCTTAGATTTAAGTCCTAATCCTGTAAGCACTTACTATCAAGTCTAGTGCTTACTTTCCTTGAACTGTCCCACTCACTACATCCAGCAGCAAGAGTTTGCAAGCCCTGGTCCTGCCTTGGTCCTTTGGTATTAAATTAAACTGGGATGATAAATCTCTAGAGCAAACACTCAAAATAACCAGTGACTATTTCACTCAGAGGAGCACTGAAGGAAGAACATATTTATACTGCTTGACCTAGAAGCTCTGTCACTCCATTAAAATGATGTTTATTGCTTGTATCTGAAGCGGTATTGACTGTTTCATACAGCCACTTAATAAAATTAGCTTTCTATAACTATTATTCAGTAAACAATAATCCTTCTTGCAGGTCTTCCTATTCTTGTTGCTACTTTGTACTGCCTTGTTGCTTCTTTGATTTCCATGGAAAATATAACCGAAGGCAAAGCCAGAAGACACAGTACAGAGAATATCTTGATTTTGTTACAGAAGTAGGACTGGAATGTGGCTTCAGTGTGGAAGAAGATTGCCTTAGAATTCCCTCAACAAAAAGGGTAATTTCTAATGACATTTTAAAATGCTGCCAGCTATTTATAACACATGTATGTTTGTTCATTATGCTTGTACTGGAGAGGCAGGCCACAACAGATTAGTACATAATTGCAGACAATATTTTCCATACAAAGGCTAAAATCATTCATCTGTCTCCTGCATGGTCTGTCACGTCCCACTTAGCGTCACAAAAAGGGGCCTAAAGGAAGCAAAAGGGGCTGTATCATTTTATAGTGCTACATAATCATATTCATATTAGTGGAATGAAAATCTTATTGTATATCTGCTTTTCCCATATAGTCTCCTACTGCCTTTATTTGTCCCATAGCATTTAGGTTGTTTGTCCCTTGCTACATCCCATAAAATTCACATTGTAAGAGCCTTAAAGTAGGGACCCATTTTTAGTACTGATCCTGCAAATAGTCTTTTGGGTAGGGACTGTAACGATCCTATAAAGCATCAAGAACACCTTTGGTGCAGTATAAATAGTAATTTTATTTATTTTTGCTAATATAGGTATGCCTCATTGGGAAGTCCAGAACATATTCACCTCTGCTAGAAGATCGAATCGATAAACAGAGAACACAGTATATTAACAACCGTCAGTCCTGCACTGGGATCACATCAGACAAAACAGTTGGATCTAATCAGTGTGACAGCCACTATGTTGTAAACTGTGTCGTTGACCAAGCAGTAGAGTTGGAGTGTGCTGCAAATGAGACCAAGACAGATGGTGCCAGGGTCTGGTGGTCTGGATTTCAACCCAGAGAAAAAGTAGAACAAGTCAGGAACTGTGCTGCTCTCCCTCGGGATTTTGTAGATGTTGTGGTTTTGACCGTGGCAAGTTTACTGTTAAATGCAACCCAAGAGAAACCATGGGAACATACACTTGATGTACATTTGAACACCTGGAATAAAGGAGGTAAGATTGTTCTTAACATGTAATGTACATTTCATACAATAATGCTTGCTATTAAAATTGACAGTTTTGCCATTGCCTGTACATAGCATTACAGTACTTTTCATGGTATTTCCTATGGCAAATATACAGAATATTCTTAGGAAACTCTTTACTGCCATAATCCCTGTAATTGGTACACTAATCTTAATTAGTTGCAAAGTCATTTGCAAAAATTTCTCTGCTAACCTCCTTAGATGCCATACCATTTCGATTTTTATAATATCTATTCATACTCTATTCTTTTATCATTTGCTAGATCCTTTTTTTCACATTTAAATACTGGATGATAGTCTGTATTTTTACTTTTAAAAAATTAACTCAATTTACATTTAATTGTTGACAATTTTAAGGCTACTTTTTGAAAGCCTGTCTGCAAATGCTTATATCTATTTCTTGATTTTAGTAAGGTTTTTTTTTAAACAGTTCCGCATGACATTCTCATACACAAACTAGGGAAATGTGGTTGAGATTAAATCACTATAAAGTGGGTGCAAAAGTGGTTGAAAGACTCTACTCAAAGACTAATTATCAATGGTTCACTGTCAAACTGGGGGAAATGTATCTAGTGGGGTCCCGCAGGGCTTGTCCTGGGTTTGGTAATATTCAATATTTTCATTAATGACTTGGATACTGAGGAGAGTGCTTATAAAATTTGTGGATGAAACCAAGGTGGGAGGGGTTAGCCCTTGGGATGACAGGATTAGAATTCAAAACCACCTTGACACATTGGAGAATTGGTCTGAAATCAACAAGATGCAATTCAATACAGTACTACACTTAAGAAGGAAAAATCAAATGCACAATTACAAAAGGGGGACTGACTGGCTGGCTAAGTGGTATACTGCTGAAATGACCCTGGTGGTTATAATGGATCAACCAGCAAAACATTTCTGCTACTCTGGAGAGAAACCATACAAAAGAACTCCAAAAATATCCTGTAGCTTCCTTTAACTGCAGTGCTAGGATACCATGCTGCAGTGTGTCGATTCTGCTTGTAATTATGCTGGTCTGGTGAGCTGACATTCCTTTTTTAATGGCTATATTATTGTTCGCTGCAGAAAGTCTTTCCTTGAGGGAAGTAGCAGAACATTTAGACAAAGAGACTTTAAAGAGATTAAAGAATGAATATGGAGGCCTCCAGACATTGCTCAGGAACAATCATCAGGTGTTTGAAGGTAAAGAATAGAGAGATTTTCATTGATCATCTCTTGTTTATATTTTTCTAACTTGACTTACATCTAATTGAAAGATTACTGGATTAGATCTTCAAAATACTGAGTACACTTCCTTGATGAGCAGAATTTTCCTTATATTTACTCCTATTGCATTTCCTAAAACGTCATTTCATAGAATATCAGGGTTGGAAGGGACCTCAGGAGGTCATCTAGTCCAACCCCCTGCTCAAAGCAGGACCAATTCCCAACTAAATCATCCCAGATCCATTTGTAGATCTTTCCTTTGACGGGTAGGGCAGAATGAGAGTGATGCCTTGCTAATCAGTCAGCTGGTAGTGGATGAGCTGTGCATCTGGCATGCTTCCCTATACAAACCTTTTCCCCCTTATTCACCTGTTACTGTAGCAGGAATTCTCAGCAGGATGCCACACTTGGACTAGATTGAAGAAAACTCCCTCCCCCCCATCCCTCCCACATACAGTGATGACAGTGTTGAAGGAAGTCAAGTGAAGATTAAGAAAGTCTTCTGGAGCATCTCATTAAGACTTAGTCTGGACTTAACAAGCACTACAGAGAAAAATGCCAACACAAAAGACAACTGGTCTAGACTAGAGCCTCTAATTATGTGAGGCTTGACAGATTTATACAGGCTGCAATAGCCTGGCAGAATAGGAAGCTAACAACAAAATAATTTTTTTTTAATGTTCTGTTGATTTTCTTCGGTTTTATTTTTGCTGCTGTCATTGTAGGATTTTTGTGGCATTGATGCCTAGCTGCTGAATAATACTCAAAACCAGCACTTTCAAACGTTGGTGCATAGGTTTGTATAAAGTTACTTTATAAAGAGTTTTCAGTTCTTGGATCCAATAGTCCCATGTTAGCAGAAATATGGGAGTCAACTAGCCCATGACAATTGTCCAGAGCAGGGGTCGGCAACCTTTCAGAAGTGGTGTGCCGAGTCTTCATTTATTCACTCTAATTTAAGGTTTCGCGTGCCAGTAATACATTTTAACATATTTTTAGAAGGTCTCTTTCTCTAAATCTATAATATATAACTAAACTATTGTTGTATGTAAAGTAAATAAGGTTTTTAAAATGTTTAAGAAGCTTCATTTAAAATTAAATTAAAATGCAGAGCCCCCCAGACTGGTGGCCAGAACCCAGGCAGTGTGAGTGCCACTGAAAATCAGCTCGCGTGCCGCCTTTGGTACACGTGCCATAGGTTGCCTACCCCTGGTCCAGAGTGTCACCAGGTACTAGTGGATTAACTGGTAGGTTGCCAGAAAATGTGTATTCTTCTTGTTTTATTGAGAGGAAGTAGATAGAAGCTTCCTGGTAGTTCCAGACTGTAGCAGTCCGGAGGAATAATATGAAAGCCCAGACAATGTTACATGTACACGAGGACTTTCTATGGTATTAGTCTTAGCCCTGGAAAGGGTTAGATGCCACAGCGGTTATAAACATGTGTGCCCTCTGTTGCTACCACCAGTGGAACTTTGTACCATCATTGGGAAAAGTGCTGGTGTTGACAAGGTCGGAGATGGGTCAGAGTTAACACCCAGTGAGAAGAGGCAGTTCACACTTGTCCTGAGGGTTAATTCTGCCCTTTCTGTGCATGATCATCTTGTGGTGAAACTAGTGAAGTTCCACTACAAAGCAAGGTGGAACAGGATTTGGGACTCCCAGCCGGAGGTGAGTTCTGTTTGCCTTATGCCAAGCTCCTTGGGGGCTGTCTTTATGCTACTTGAGGAGAGGAGATTTGGATATGTGGCCAGTGGAATAAGTGGGACTGGGAGCATGCTGCACCGCACCATGGGAAGGGGATGTGGGTGCTCTCTCCTTTTATACTGGTGTGTTCTGGGACGAAGTGTCCTTCATGCCGCTCCCAATACCAGTGCACAATCAAGGCCATTAGCAACATTGCCTGAAACAGCATTCACAGAGTTTGTGACGCAAGACTGAATGATAGTTAGGGACATCTGGTGGCTCAATTTTCTTTTCTGACAAAGAAGATCTGAAATGGCAGAGATGCGAAAAGAATAAGTAGCCAGGAGCTTAAAATTACAAATCTGTGCTAGCATTTTATAGTCACATATTTGGTCCAGTTTAGGACTAACATCTTGGAATAATTGAACCTGATCTTACATACTGACATCCCTCTGTTCAATTCTCTTTGAGTTTTGAGAGAGAGAGAGAGAGAGAGAGTAACATTAAACTGATTTCACTTTCAAGAACTGGGATAAAATGCATTCATATATATTAGCTTATCACAAGGCCAAAAAGGTACAGGAGCAGTCCCTAATTACATGGGGTAAATGGCATAAAGGCAATAGCGCCTGGAAATTTGCCAATGGTTGTTTATCTCCTCTTCCTTCTACCCTGTTTTCTTCTTCTTCCTTTCTTGTTTATCTCCTCTTCCTTCCTTCCTCTCTTGTGTATTACCTTGCTTTCTATACTTTTTTTCCCTTATACATATAAAATTCAGTATATAGTCACAGATGTGTATGTACAGTTTCTGGCCCTGATCCTGCTAGTGCAGCGGTTCTCAAACGTGGGTTCTGAAGCTGAAGCCCGAATCCCACCACCCGGGGCCAAAGCTGCCCAAGGGCTTCAGCTATGGGCATCGGGTTTCAGGTTACAGGCCCCCTGCTTTGGCCTGAAGCCCTGGGCTTTGGCTTTGCCCCTGCCCCTCTCCTCCCTCCCCCTGAGGGCTGTGGGGCTCAGGCTTTGGTCCCCTCTCATGGAGTCATGTAGTCATTTTTGTTGTCGGAAGGGGGTCACGGTGCAATGAAGTTTGAGAATCCCTGTGCTAGTGGATATGACCAAGGCCCTTTGTGCCTGATGCAAAACTCCATTAACTTCAGTGGAGCTCCATACAGACACAAAGATATACTCTGATCAAATTGGAGGATCAGGCTCTAAATCTCTTCACTGTAGCGTGCTTTGGTGCACCATTCTCATTGCTGAAGATTCTCATTTACAGATCTGAGAAAGAACACCCTGCTTTTTATTGGTAATTCATTTTTAAAAGGTGGAATAACGCAGTATGAAAAGAAAGAGAGAACATGTGCAGGATTACAATCTATAGTGTTTAGCTCCTGGCAAAAAGGAGGTTTAAGCTGCAGAAAAACGTTTAGGGTAAGGCATTAGTAAAGAGGATTACTTGCAAATACCAGGTTTCTCTATATTACTTACCCTTGCTGTATGTGCTATAGCACCTTTTTACTTGGGGATCTTAAAACACGGTACAAACCCTTTCTGTGATACCCTGGTGAGGTGGATACGTGACATAGACTTTGCAGGTAGATGGTTGAACTGGGGCACAGAAATTTAAATGATGCTTAGCCCATAAAGCAATAGATTAGTAATATTTGTAGAGCCCTGCAAATCTGCGGATGTCCGCAGATATCTGCAGACCATGTTTGTGGATCGTGGATCAGATGCAGATACAAATTTTGTACCCCCACAGGGCTCTATATATTTGCATTCCCTTGTTCTGAGGTTGATAGTATTGTATTTATTTAAACATCACACACCTGCACATGCTTTTGTATGATTTATTTATAAAAATCAAAATTAAATGTAAAAAGATGTTAAATGACTTCCCTGAACTTACATGGTATTAAGGGAGGGTGGTGGAAGAATTAACTCCTCATTTCTAGTTTTCTCCTTTATTGAACGGACACTTCCTTCTCTACAGCAGCCTTGATCCCAAACTCAGTGAAGTCAATTGGAGTCTTTCCACTGATGACAGTGGACTTTGAATCAGGCCCCAAAAGGTTAACCTATTTGTTTGAAAATTGCCCTATGAATAAACAAAGTTGTTTTCCTTTTATAAATAGGTGCCCAGTGTTTAAAGCCAAGACTTTTCATTACAGGGCTAACTCCACCTCTTGTTTGAGTTGGGCTTTCCCAACATTTATGTATTATTTATGCCATTTAAAGAGAGGGATGTTACTTTCCAGTATCTGCATCTCTTCGAGGGGTACCTCTGTACTTCTACACACAGAGTTTTATTATTTATATAAATATTTACTTGCTATACCCTGTAGGATAGTTTAGATCCTAATCCTAACCACTGTCTACAAACGAGTCAGCTCAGCACAGACTGCAATAGGTGCCCTAAAACTGTCCTATATAACAATGACAGGTTTCAGAGTTGTAGCCGTGTTAGTCTGTATCAGCAAAAAGAACAAGGAGTACTTGTGGCACCTTAGAGACTAACAAATTTATTTGGGCATAAGCTTTCGTGGGCTAAAACCCACTTCATCAGATGTAGGTTTCATTATTTATTCATTCATTCGCCCACAAAAGCTTATGCCCAAATAAATTTGTTAGTCTCTAAGGTGCCACAAGGACTCCTTGTTGTTTTTGCTGTATAATAATGACATCCCTTATAAGTGGGAATATATAGTCTCCAAAGAAGATTTAATATACACTCTCAATTTGTTATGCATTTATTTCTACTCCTATGCAAGTACCTATACCAGGGGTAGGGAACCTATGGCATGTGTGCCGAAGGCGGCACGTGAGCTGACTTTCATTGGCACTCACACTGCCTGGGTCCTGGCCACTGGTCTGGGGGGGGCTCTGCATTTTAATTTAATTTTAAATTATGCTTCTTAAACATTTAAAAAACCTTATTTACTTTATATACAACAATAGTTTAGTTATATATTATAGACTTGTAGAAAGAGATTTTCTAAAAACGTTAAAATGTATTACTGGCCCACGAAACCTTAAATCAGAGTGAATAAATGAAGACTCGGCCCACCACTTCTGAAAGGTTGCCAACCCCTGACCTATACAATGCACTTTGATTGTGCCTGGATAGCCCATTTATAGTACATATTTGTATTCACAGATGACCAGTGTAATCCCCATAATTTCTAGTAATGGCTTGTATGCTTGTCTTTTTATTTTTTTTTTTTTTAAACCTTCAGTTCTAAATGGAAGAGTTCATATTCGTGACTGGAGAGAAGAGAAACCCTCAAAGCGAACCAAGCCAGAAGTAAAACGAAGATTTTCTGCTGAAGCTTTTAAAACACGTCTCTGCTGGTTTTTCATCCACCATCCTGACGGCTGTTCTCTGACTTCTGAATCTTGTCCATATGCCCATGGGACTGAGGAGCTGAGGCAGTCTCAGATTATGAAAAAGAAAAAGCACCCATAGTAATAAAGTACTGTTGGTTACTCTTACACAGTACAAATAAATGGATTTCTGATTAATTTATTGAACTGCTGAATGCATGAAGAATGTATAAGATTAAGTCTGTCTTTATTTATGTGTTCATTGTATTTATCCAGTTTCTAAGAAGTCCTTTTCTAATTTTAAGTGATTTTTTTTTCTTGTTTAGGGATTTTTATGGACAACTTTGAAAATGTTGAAATCCAGATGAAAATGTCCATGATTTATTTTTATTTTATTTTTGGTAACATCCTTAAAGTATAGGATTTTACATTTTAAAAACAGTTGTGGTCTGACTGCTCAATGGATATTATGTTTTGTTCAAACAGAAAAGTAAAACCAACTTTTAAAATCTCAGCACAGTCTTCAAGATCTTTGGCTGATTGTCTGTACAATGATGTATCCGCCTCCCCAGCAAGTCAGCCATTTTGTCATACAATGCTTGAGGCTGTCTTTCTGATAGGATGCCTGAGTGTCTTTCGGCTCATAAATAGCAGAGGGGTAAAAATAAAAGGGTATCAGGGAGTGAGGAACACGGGCTTTTCCTCTACAAAAGCTAAGGGAGAGTGCCCTCGCCTCTTTGATATAGGGGAGCACCCCTTTTTCTGCTTGCTGGTGCAGTGAGAGTCCACCTCCCCCATTTCAATCGATGATAACCATTGTGGGTTTTGCTTTTAAAGCAGGGGTGGGCAAACTTTTTGGCCTGAGGGTTGCAAAACTGTATGGAGGGCCAGGTAGGTAAGGCTGTGCCTCCCCAAACAGCCTGGCCCCCACCGCCTATTCTCCCCCTCCCACTTTCCATCCCGACTGCCCCCCTCAGAACTCCCGACCCGTCCAACCCCCCCTGCTCCTTCTCCCCTGACTGCCCCCTAACCGCCCCTCCCCCAGCACCCCAGCCCCATCCTACCCCCCCCCCTTCTCCCTGTCCCAACTGTCCCAACCCCTATTCATACCCCCATCCCCTGACAGGTCCCCTGGGTCCCCCACGCCTATCCAACTCCCCCTCCAGAACCTCCACCCCATCCAACCACCCGCCTGCTCCCTGTCTTTGGGACCTCCCCCCCCCGCCCTTATCCAACACCCTGACCCCCTTACCATGCTGCTGAGAGCAGCATGTCTGGGAGCCGTGCCGCCTGGACGGAGCTAGATATGCTGCCGCTCTGCTCGGCAGGAGTGCGCTGCTCGGCGTGGCTGCCGGGGAGTGGGGACAGGGGGGAGGGGCCGGGAGCTCAAGTGCCGGGCAGGACAGTAGTTTGCTCACCTCTGTTTTAAAGTGTAAAAGGAGAGCTCTTTGGGCCGTGTGGGGGAACCAATATGGAGGACTCCAAAGCATTTGTTTTGGGACCCTCTAAGTCATGACCGGCCTTCATTGTTCATTAAAATTGATCAAGTCAGCACAAACTGCATTTAATGATAACCTTTCTCAGATTCACAAGACTTACAGTTGTCATACAACAATGGCATGTCTTGTCATCTCCAGTTGGTTAAGCTCGTCCCTGCTGAACATGTCATTTTCTTTAAAGGGCAAAAGTCTCTGTAATAATTGATGTAATCTTCTGTTAAGTGATCTTAGAGTTGAAGGGTCACTCTCCAGTCTCCAGTACAATGAAGTCATTTCAGTCCTGGCCTGAGAGCATTGTCCCATCCAGGATGTGTTGAGGCACAGATCCTAACATTGTGGAACCATTTGGGTTGAAGCTCACTGTGACAGGATTTTGTATGTAACTCCACTGCTAGTCGGAATAGCAGCATGAAGCAATGGCTGGAGAATGAAGAGAAGAAATGTGTAGCCAGGTGAGCTAAACGGATGGTGAAAGCATTGAGGTAAAGCTTGGTTGCAGGAATGGAGGCAGGATCCAGGAATGAGAGTGGGCAAGTGTGGCTGGTAGAAAGGGGAGTGGAAGGTACAGCAAAACTGAGTGTTGGCAGCAGGGCCGAGGAAGTGAGAGTCTGAGAAGGAATGAAGCCTGGTGAAGATGGAAGAGAATGGAGGAGGAATACAAGCGGTGACATTTTTTGAAAACACACCCAGCTTTGCTTTAATAGTCATGGTCCATTGTGTGCAGAAAAAAGAAGCAAGGCAGCAAGGACTGGTTCCTCTGCCTCCCTGGCAGAGACTAGCTAGCCTCAAGTAACCTTTCCCTTGCTAACTTCCGTTTCCAGGGAATGTGGGTGTCACTGGCCATCCCCCCGTGACATATGCTACAGTGTACACCTTGGCCATTTTATACTAATGTTTAGCCTTGGCTACATACATGCAGAGCAAAAAGGAAATATTAAAGTCCTGTGCATGGGCTCCCCAACCGGCACTTCTCCCACACATTGGGGGTAAGGTTTGATGGAGAGGGGAATCCTCTAAAGTAATGCTTTCATTGCAAGAAAATCCACAGGGGTTTGCATGGATATGATGATGCAAAGAGTATCTCTCTCCCTGGTGTGACATTGACATCTCCCCCTCAACCATGCCCCTCAAAGGCACCACTTCAGGAAAGGATTTAACTTTGTGCTTAACTTTAAGCATGTGCTTAAGCCCCCATATACAGAGACCCGAAATATAGAATTCATGCATAGGGGCTTGTGTAGGGTCAGAGAGGAAGGTTAGAATGCCAATTTTCCGCTCTTTTATTTCCTCTCTAGCAAAATAGATAGGGCATGCTGAGACCCCATCGGCTGGTCTAGTCATGTATATATTTATATCCTCGACCAATCTGAGCTATTTTTAAACATACCCTTTTCTCCATCTATTGTGGAGTTTTCTTATAATTGGTGTGCCGCACAGAATGACTTCCTCTATAGAACTCTATTTTTTGCATTCCCCCACATACCATTCCAGCAACCTGTGTCATCAAGAATGCATGATTGCTTTCCCCCTCCCCACCTGCCATCACTGCAGGCAACAAATGGGTCAACAACGCTCATCCAATTAAAGAAACTTCCCTGTTGACTTGAAAAGGATTGGAAGAAATATCCTCCCTTCTCATGCTCTTTCATCAAAATGTTAGCCTCATAAATAATTTCTAGATGTAGATGTGGGATTAGATATGGAGGAGGGTTACTGTATCTACCCTCACTTTGTCTATGGTCCACTATCTCAGAATGGCATTTATACAATACAATTTCAACAAGTGAAGAGGCTGCTCAGGGAGAAGTAATCCCACTTCTAAAGATTAAAGGCAACTGAAAAAAATGAAGGGATACAAAGCCCCATCAACTGATGGGGTATTTTTCCATTGTACTACTTGGTTTTTCGAGCATCACCGCTTGCTTTGATAACATGACCTTATTTGACTTTTATCATTACAGATGAAAGAACATTTAAAAATAGAGTTGCACACACCCCTCCCCCGAACAGCGCATGATGATGGATGTCTTGACAGATTTCTAGCAATAGAAAAGTGCTGGATGATTGCTCCTGTTCCCAGGCATGCTATGGGTTGAAGTTGCCTGATAAATAGTTTTCTTTTTGTCAAGTTTTACAAATATGCATATAAAGTTGGTATTGTAGGTACAAATGATTTGCTAAAGGGGTCGCAGTGATTTCTCTTTTAGGACTCAATTCTGACTGCATTGGGGTTGATCTCAGCTTTGGATCAGGCCCATAAACCAGAGAAGAGCAATAAATGGCTGTTTATAGGTATCCTGTGAGTAACCTACTTAATGAAACCTGTTCCAAATCAATGAAACCTGTGTCATTTTGAAGACCTACGTTTATGATATCACTTTCAGCCGATCATTTACTGAATGATGTGACACATTATTAGATAAACCAGATTTAGAGGCTGTGGAATGATTACAGCCAATTTGGCAACAACCACTGGCTTCAAGGTAGGTTGAATAATGAAAAAAATGCCAAAAATGTGTTTTGGATCAAACCTCACCTCCTTTCTCCCCCAGCCAAACACCCTAACTGGGTTTAAGTCCAGATCATTAGTGATCTTTGAACCATGATTTTGTGGGCTGAATATCATTAAAATGCAACATGGTGGATGATTAACAATTCCAACAAGGGCATTATAAAAGGAAGTATTTCACAGTCAGCAGAAATTCAGGATAAAAAGACATTTGTCAAAGCAGTATGTGTATCAGGTATTTGTGTCCTACTAAGTAAAGGGTTATCAGCCCATACGACCCTAGTCTAGCCAAAGTTGGATATCTGCCGCCGATAGCAGGCAATGATTCCGGATAGGTGGTTGTTAGTAATTTACTGTAAGCATAATTTAAGAGGTACTTTCATACAAAAATTGCGGTTGTTTGTGAATGCCTCAAACAATTCTGTCAGGTCATTAAAAGCTGCACATTTCATGATCATCTCTATATGCTATTCTAGTGTACAGGAACTGGGTAGTGCTCTTTAAATAATTTGTGAACCCTCTAGTGGTGCTCACTGTGCTCTGTTTTAGAGACCAGCCAGAGCAGCAGTGTGTGTGTATATCTGTAACTAGACCTTGTATACTGTGAACAGTGTTATTTGGACACCCCCATGCGTGTGTGGTTGCTTTATATTATGCTTATTGTATCAAGAGCAAAATATACTATGGCTATAGTGTTCAGTTACCATCTTCCCAGAACCATCCTTTGAGTTATTTCTAACTGACTTATATAAATACACTACAGGATGAAACGTGGTAGATAATGGCAGTCTAGATCCACTCCCCCAACCCCCGAGCTTTATTGTAACTGGTTTCAACAACTTTAAATAGATGAGGCCTAGTTTCAGGTTTTTTTAAGGTGTGTAGCAATATTCTAAAGACTTCTTGAATGGATGGACATGATGCATGGTGCCAGTTGTTCAGGAATTAATGGATGCAGGTTATCTACATTGTAGTTACTTGATGCTCCATACTAGGGACAGAACAGCATAATGGCTCCAAGAACCAGTCATCTCAATGCGTGCTGTAGGGCTGAGTTGTGGTCAGCTGTATCTGGCTACAGCCTGGCACACTTTTTAAGCAAACCCACATCTAGCTCCTGTTGAATATGGCTGCCTAACAACTAGCTAGATACTCGCTATAAAAAAAAAAAGGGGAGGGGGGGGGGAAGAGGCAGATAACCAGAATTTTGAGGACTCAGAATGCATTTGTTTGAACTGGAAACCTTTCTAATTGCTAACTTGTATCTCCTGAAGCATGTGCAGAAAGACCCCACTCTAACCCCAAGAACCACTGTGAGGTGACAGCCTGACTGCACCCACACTGTACACATCAACATTTTGTTGCTCAATGAGCAAACACAAATCTGGGTGGGGACATTTGCTTGCTCTTTTTCCAGGGGCCAAACAACAATTCACAAGGTTTTAAAGTTGTCTGTTAACACACAAATACGCCTCTATTCTTTTGAACTTGTGACCCTCCCTATCA